AGTATGTTAAAAATACTATTAAAATAATTAAAATGATTGATCACTAAAAATACTAATGTATATAATCGATTGGTGTTAAAGCTTGATTATTTTATTATATGATAATTATTGTAATAATAAAAGCTTGATTTTATCATATGATAATTATTATAATTCTTTATAATAAAGCTTAATCATTTCATTACATGATAATTATTGTCTAACTTTTTATGTTTAATATTTAAAATCATATAAAAGGATTCTGTTTAATTATTTTTAGATTAATCTTAATAAACTTCTTTTATCTCAATGAACTTCAATAAACATTCACTTTTATTTATTTTTTGACTTCTAATAACATGGTTAGGTATAGCAAAGGTAAAATGAAAGTCACAGATTCTTCTGACCATTATTACAACAAAAGTCATTCTAAAAGTCAAGAAAAAAAAGGTAAAAATGATATACACTACAAAGACTCAAAGAAGTATAAGTATTAGCAAATGGATCAGTAATTTTTATTAACATTCAGATTGCCTCATATTTTATGTTTCTAATATTTCATTTATATAAATTTCCAATTAACTAAAAGAAACTATAATAAACATAAATACAATTAGGCTAAATCATCAAGTTTATTTGAATTCTTAGATTCAAACAATAAACTTCATAAAAAATCACTAGGAAGTAAATGGAATGAAAAGAAAAAGACAATAGGCAAGACTAACTAATTATCTGATTGATGTATTGTGATAAAATAATGCATAAATACAACTATATTATCATAATTATTTTTTAGATATGATCAATGAACTAGAACATTTAGAAGCATTAATCAAGCATATTTTTAAAGATAAACTTAAAAAGTGAAGCTATAACAGTTATATCGATGATATAGTTAATGATAAAGAATAATCAGCAAACTAGTATAATATTCAGAGAAATCAAGGTAATTACGTAGTTTCTGGTCTTTTTAACCTTACTAATCAAAATGAATGAGTTTTAAAACCCTTGGCTCTTTCTAATACATTCTAAAGACAAGAAATCTGATTATGACAAGTAGTGATGACGAAAAAGATAAAAATCATCATCGCGATTTTAAGAAAGACAAGCATAAGTTTCGCATTTATCAAATAACTTCAGAATCTGATATTAGTTTTTCTGATAGTTTGTCAAGCAGTTCAGACTAGGAATCTCATAGGATATCAAAATATAGTTCTCGAAAAAAGTAATCAGAATTACAAAAAATGTAATAAATAAAAACTGGTGATTGAAATTACTTTAAATTTTGCAAATATATTATCAAATATATAAATATTATATATACATAATTTCAGCTATTTATCCTATCTTTATGTCTCACAATCGTCTTTTAAGTCAAAAAAAATATCATTAAAAATTTAAGCAGTAAAAACCTGAAAACTTTAATACAGCATTTTTAACTAC